ACACGTACTAAGATCCCAGCTTGCCTTTCAAGCCGATTTTGTGATACTTTCGCAATTATATTCAAACAACTGAGGTGGCTTGTCGAAAGAGTTGTTTGCATTCGTTTTGATATTATACACAATATTTTCAATCTTTATGGTGCATGTATCTTCTCAGTATTGATTGATGATCTCCAAAAGTAGACTGCGGTTTATGGAAATAAAAATCGACATCAGATTCGATTTTTAAGGTAGCCGATCGTGAACGACGTGTGCAGTACAAAGAGTTATTGAAACGAATGCAAAGAGCCGAAGAATTGCGTGTTGTAGTCGAGAAACTGGAAGTACGTAAGAGTATTGCCGATCGAAAGAAGGGTGAATTTCGACCCAAAAAGGTTTCTTTTTGATTCACTTTGACTTATTGCGATTGCCAGATTATGTTATGCCTTTACAAAACAATTCTTTATGTTTCCGTTTAAGGTAATTGTTCCCCGTAAACCACACTTCTTCACACATTTGCCAATCATTTTTAGCATCCTCGTTAATTTTTTCGTTTGAAAATTGAAGGTTTTTTTGGCAGGTACCCTAGTTTGTGCGTAATTAGTTAAGTAAAGTTGTTACATGAGAGTTGATTGTTACTCATTTGCAGGTGAGTAAAGGTGAGCCGATGAGAGCACGTGTATTCAAGTGGACTTATGAAAGGAAGAAGTAACGCCGATTTTTAATATGATGCAGTTTTATTTAAATTGATTTATTTATTTATTTCTTTGTTATGCGTTGTTGTTCATTTTTGAAATATTATGTCATGTTATTTCACTGTGACCTTGTTGTAGTTTTTTAAATTTGTATTTGAGAGTTTTCCATATGTGGTCATATTGAGTTCATATTTTGAATAAACTGATTCCTTGAAAATGTTTATTTGTTGACAACGGAATTTTGAATTTTAGCTTATGTAAATTCGTTTTTGTGAAAAATTAATCAACTGCATGTTTCTTCAATGCCCCCCGCAAAAAAAAATTCAAATTCCCTAAGGAGAACACTGATGTATTTTCATTCTGAATTCTGGATCGCCCTCATTTATGATCACAGTTATTCAAAGGAACGGTTTTGCCAAAAGAAAACGAGTTATGCATTAAACACAATGGCTTATCTGTTCTTTACGGTCAGCGAATAATAGCATATTCTTCTAAATGTACGTGATTATCTCGTTCCTCTTTCGAATTTCTGGTTCACTGAATCTGTATCCGAATCCATATCACTGAACGGCTGCGGTGCACGCATTTGACAATGAGTTTTGGATGATCGTTGCGAATTCTGAGAGAACGACAGTTAAATGAAATGAATTGATTGAATGGTCAAGAATGACTGTGCTGTGAGTAGGAAGTGTTTCTAGGAAACGACTGAGCTAAATGTCGCAGTTATGAAATTTCAGGTGTTTATGAGTTCCGTTGACTTAATCGTATCAGCGCTCGAAACTGATCTATCGGACGACCGGATTATTCTCAACAGCACAGTAACGGAAGCATATGAGGCCATACTTAAATTGAATCTCTACACGCTTCTCATACTGTTTCCTTTTGTGCAAATGCTTACCATTTTGTTATACGTCGGCTATGCCAGCATCGATCTGTGGAGAATACGAAATTTCCAAACTCTTTGATATCGAATGTCATTTTTCGAAAAGTTTATTTAGTGCATTAATTACTGCAAGTTTCACCTGAATCTGCATCAGTTTTACATTGTAATGATTTCACGGTGGAAGTGATCATTTATACTATTACAGTAATCTTATGATGTCGTTTTCCTTGCATGGTTCTTATGCGATCTCGCACTGCTGAATGATCCAGTATGCATACATCGCGTGGAAAATTTTCTCTTGACTCCTTGTACGCATGCTTGTTATTCAGTTAATGCCAACTTGATGACTGATTTTGGTGATTTACAAAATTGATCCAACAATATGGTCAAATGTTACTTTATGCTCGAAATTATCCAAAAAATGTTTCGATCCTATTTTCTCGGCGTTCTTATATTGTTGATAAAGATTTTCTTCCTAGTGAATCCCTCCATTCAGGGCACAAGTGATAAGGCATTGATTCCTTCAGACGCGATCTGTGATCGCTGGAGTTGTTTTCATTGATTCTGTTGTTTCGAGTATCTTTCATGAATTTAATTTATTTCTCCCGATGGATAAATAAATATACATCTAAAATGACGCTCACTTCATGTAATTACATTCAAATGAAAATGAGAGGTTCATATAATGCTCTTTATTTTACATTGTGAATGAACATCGATCAAACTCAACACTGGAATATTACAATTCAATAATGATTGCATTAACAATAATAATAATCATGGTAGCGATGATCAGAAACATAACCAACTATCAGAAAATCGTAGGATTTATCGTTTCACTATAAAATGCCGAGTGAAACTTTCATCGCGGATCGTTTTTTCGTTCTGGACGGCGAAGTCGAGAACTAGTGTTTCAACTGAACAAAAATTCAAAATTCAATGCCCGGTCACCTCAAAATCCAGAGAGGTTATCCATGGAGAGATGATTAGAGATGGGCGATTTAATTGAGCAAGAGTGATAGTGACTTGATCTCAGACGAATCATACGAAAAGAACTGGATCTTTTTGATTTTTCGTGAGAAGTTGATCTTACCAGATCTAATTAAAACCTCAAAATAAACATTCTAAAATTCTGATAAAAATTGTATTGATGAAATT